AAGGAGAAAGTCTGGTTCGAATTGGAAGTCTAAAGAACATAACCCCCTTTTGGCCAGACAGTGCTTTTTATTATTAAAATAATTGAAAAGGCATATGTGCCCTTATTTAAGGAAGGAGCACTGGTTCTAACACAACATTACAGATCAGCAACCTTAATCTGGGTATAAGGACAGAAATACCCCTACGCTAACAGAAACCAACCCCCCATTTCTCTTATATGAAAAATATTTTCTGATCGCATTTACTTATATGCAAAATATTTTCTAACTTCATAATTCATTATTCATTTTTTGCATTTTCCTGCAGTTCATGTTCAGTAGACCCATTCGTTGGATTTTAGCCCTCCATGGGAATGTCGTGGTGCCTTTCGTGTTTGCTGGAATTATGAGGTAATTGATACTTACTTTAGCTTCCAAATTTATTTTGTATGAATTGCCATGGATTGGCCTGCCCGTTATTTTCCTTTTCCAATTTGCAGCAGATTAGTACTCATCCTTTTATCACATTTAATAAAGTTTCAGTTACTCATAAGATATGCATCAGATAACTTCTTTTGTAGAAACAATTGCAAAGTTGAAATAATTTTAATTATCAGGTTGGGTAAAGAAGAAGAGAGACAAGAGATATATAGACACAACCATGGAAAGATAATGAGGAAGAATGTCTTTCTATTTATTCATTATGAAAAGAAAAGTACATTGACTAAAATACCCCTAAAGTGCAGGTAGCTTATCTTGTTAACATTCTCCCTAGCACATTGACAATAAACAAGAATAAACAGACTCCAAATTCAGTTGTACTTTACCTTCTTCAAAAATAAACGGACTTCAAATGAAATATGGGCATATTACTACCCTATACAATCCATGCATGCATAATCCAATGAGCACCATACCACAGAAAGGTAGCAGTTCCATAAAATGTTGGTGAAGATCTCTCGGGCAAAGGCATCTCATCTTTCAACTAATGCCCTCTTTTTGTAATTACTATACTAATAAGTATACAGCCACACTGTAATGGGTTCTCCCATTTTTACAGTTAATGCAATATATTTTACTTTTTTCCACAGCAAGAAAGAAAAGTCGAGGAAGCATCCCATGTATAATTTAAAAGCACAAAGTCCACACCTACATTAAGTACAGAACAATTAGGTGCTACAAAGTGATCAAATGAGAACCACCACTAATCAGAAAGCACAAAATTGTAGGGGGATCCATTGCAAAGTACCACCACTTCTCATCACAATCTGTGGTCAAAGTACCACCACTTTGACCAAGGAACTGAGTACCAAAGGGAGAATAAGGAACCGTGGTTTTTGTAGAATGACCATTATAGGGTGGTCCCTGTAGTAGATATTACAAATAACCCCCAGAAACATGAAGTTTGCATTTCTTAAAACTCCCTCTCAAGTTGGGTGAAGATTTTTTTTTGAAAAAAATAACTTTCATTCAAAAAGAAAAGGAATCGTCCATGTAGTAGATATTACAAATAACCCCTAGAAACATGAAGTTTGCATTTCTTAAAACTCCCTCTCAAGTTGGGTGAAGATATCTTTTTTTTTTTGAAAAAAATAACTTTCATTCAAAAAGAAAAGGAATGCCTACAAAAAAACTTAAAGACCTTTTTTTTTCCCTCTTAGCTATTACATTCCCTTAGAGTAATCTCTGATAATGAAATAAAGACCTTTTTCTGTACATTCCTGTATATTTTAATAAAAGGCTTGATTATTGATAAAAAAGAAAGCTCTGACAAAGCAGAACGAATGAAATTAAAATTATGTTCTATTATGCTGGATGAATTTTGTGAAATATTTCATGATTCATCCATGCAGGCAAAACTATATTGGGGCAGGGGCCATTACTTGGTATAATGTTAAAATCTCAGGCTGGCAAGCATGGGGATGGAGGTTCAGGTCTGAGGGCGGACACTTTATGCAAAAAATGTTTATGGTTAGGACCATACCCAGTCCACCTCTCCGAAGATCCCAGATAGCTGGGGCCAACATTGGATAGTTATTTTTAGGCAAATCTACATGACCAGAAATAACCATGAATTTCATATCAAAACATAGAAAATATTCAAGTTCATGTGAAGGTAAATATTTAAATATATTAGTTTCAAATTTTTAACTATAACATTGCAATATAATAATAATAACAATAATTCAATAAAGCAACTAGATTTAAAAAATTAAGTAATGAATATTATAAGTACTTTTATACCAAACAATCCCTAAGATTAAGTTTTTTGCATTATTTTTCTTCAAATACCCACAAGCACTTAGTCTTCACTAAAAGCCAAAGCAATAGCAATAAGCTTATAAACCATTCAATCCAGCGATTCCATCAGCCCTTATAAACAGCCCCCAAGAAAAGTTTTACATAATTTTTCTTCAATTAAAATATTTACATAGTCTGTTTAAATGATAATAATTTTGATTTTAGATTATAAAAATTTCTCAAAAGTCATTCAAGTATAAAACAAAAATAAATGCAGAAAGCATGAGACTTAAAAGTTGTTAATATTTATTCAGTGTATCATGTTTATTTTAATAGAATGAGTCAACCGATTAAAATGTGTTTAGCATGTCTCAAAGCGTTGGACTAGCATCCTGGATGACTAGCTTCCCACCTAGGTGCTTACGCTTGCATCTAATGGGAATATGATTCGAGTTGAAGTTTTTATCGTGTAATTCAATCCCTTCTCTCTTTCTCTCTCTAGTTTTCTTCTCTCTTTGATAGCTAAGCTTCTTTCCGTAAACTCATTGGTTCCTTCTCTCATCCATATAGATCAGTAATGATCTTCCTCCCAGTTTTTCATATTCTGTTTCCTCTACTTCCTTCATGGACTAGAGAGGCCTCCACAACCACCTTAGAATCCCTAGCTTCCTCTCTTCCAGATTCCTAAAAGTTTCTATCAAAAAGTTGTCTCACCAAGGATGAACAGACCTGGGGGCGTAGCAACTTGAACCTCATTCTCAACTATTCATTGGCATCAAACCACTAATCTAACACACTTTGTCCACTTGAGCTCCTTTTTGCTCATTCGTCCATCTCTAATACGCACATCTTCGTTGTCTCATATCTGATAAGATTGAAGAATTTGTAGGTTTGTTTCTAACTTCTAAGTTCTGGAGGCTTGTTAACTATTAAGCAAGTGCCAATTGGTTGTCAATAACTCTTGTACTACTGCTGTTCAATGTTACTCAATATCTTGTTGTTCATATTATTTATTTGTATTTTAGTTTTGAAATTCTAAGAGCTGTATATGGTTGTCATCTGTACTTTGCAGTGGAAGTCTGTCTTATGGTCTTCGTAATACCCCATCAGCTACCATGGAGGTATGCTTTAGAATTCTAATTTTAGAGCTATATCTTTTGCTTGTTTTAGCCTTAATTTCTTTCCTTTAGTGAGAAAATGCCAACAATAACATCCATCTATCATCCTGTTGACTGTTATGATATTTGAGATGCTCTTTCTCTCTTGTTTTCTGCAACTATTCTTTTCTTCATGAAAGCTAGGGGATCAGTATTGACTGATACATATATGATGTTACCAAACTTGGGTGATTTTGGTAATATGAATATTGACAGGTAGAAAGTGCAGAATCTTATGTAGGACTTATGAAGAAGGCAGGGATTTCTGTAGAAATTGAGGTGTGGTAACTTGTTTTTCTTAATTCATTATTTCCAAAGGGTAATTTGTCACCTTGATTTATAGAAATAGGATGCCCATGTCTATTTAGAAGTGAGATTTTAAAACTGCTTTTTACCTACAGAAACGCAAGAACACAATTTTAGAGTGCTCTACTTCCTTGGCAGAAAGTGTTGGTGGACATCTTGTCATGCAGAATAGCTTACTTGAGGAGGTAGTAATTGCTAGTTAGCTTAATTTTCACTTGGATTTGTTTAGTTAAAAACTTAATTCTATGACTTTTACGTTCCCGGAATGTAGGTTGTGAATCTTGTTGAGGCACCTGTTCCAGTCCTTGGATCTTTCAAGGAGTCCTTCTTAGAGCTTCCTAATGATCTCTTAGTAATGGTAAGTCAAACAACTAAGGGCTTTTTTTTTCGTACCTACAGGCTCACACTTGCATATATTTATATATGCCATTGGGCAGGACAAAAATGGTCTTCAGATATTCTTAAGTCAAACAACTAAGGGCTTTTTTTCATACCTACATGCTTGACTTGCATATATGTATATATTCCACCGGGCAGGACAAAAATGGTTTTCAGATATTCTTAAGTCAAACAACTAAGGGCTTTTTTTTATACCTACGTGCTCACACTTGCATATATATGTATATATGCCACCAGGCAGTAGAAAAATGGGCTTTAGATATTCTTTTTCTACCTTACTGCATGTTTAATTAGCCTTAGTTTATTTGTCAACTTATTTTGCCCCTGAATCTTCTATTGAGGTTTATGCTATACCTATAGTGTAGTGTGAATGAAGAGGTCAGTAAAAATGCAAGGAAACTATCTGGAAAAGAAGAATGAGACAATTGAGAAATACATAGTTGTTGACTTATGTGGCAAGTGCCAAGCTTGCTATGTTTTCTAGTGTTGGGTTGTTTTCCGTTTTTTGGTCTATAGGACTCTTTTCTTGAATCTAGTCTTGCATTGATATTCCTAGGCTTATTGAGTTGTTCTATTGAAATGTCTTTGCAGTATTAAATGCGTCACTTTCTGCTGTTGTTTGTATGGATGAGCTTTGAGATGTCTCGGGACTTGGAAAGCATGTGGTTGTTTACATATTTTGTATGGTATAGTTGGGTGTTGCAGGGGGTTGGTATTTTCTATGTAAATTCTTAGGCGAATTCCTGGAAGAGTATGATTGTTTTTTCCATGTCAATCTTCAAAGTCAGAAAGGGTGAGAATCTTTTTTTTTTTGTGGGGGGGGGGGATTTACTGTAAAAACGGAATTTTTTTTTTGGTAACAAATGTATACAAAATTTAGATTTTGATGCTGATCAAAGATTTCATGGAGACTTAAGGTGGTGTGGTAGTTTCACCCAGTTTTCATAACTCCACTCTTAAGTASGGAAGTTATTGGATGTGCTTAATGCTCTTTCAGAAGATGCAGGGTGTCTTGGTGTCCCTTGAACATAATAATGAGTTGATATTGAAAATTGACACAAAACAAGGTATCATAGTGAGGTTCTTTAAATAAGGTGCTTAGTTAGTGTATTTCTCCTGAAAAAGAGCTTTCTTGTGGCTTGTTTTTTACATAAAGCGCTTATGAATTCACAATGGATGTCTGATGTGCACGTCACAGTTTCTTGTGTGTTTTACTTTTGTTAACAAGATTCTTACAACTTGGCCCCATCTATTTTTCAGATGTGTGCCTTTTGTTTTGCTACGGTATTTGAAAAGATTGAAAAGGATTTCGGAAATAGCCATTTGAGTGTTTTTTACAGATGCCAATGCTTATATTTATGGTTTTTTGTTTGGCAATAAGATTTTATGGGTGTACGCAGTTGAATGTTTATAGCCGGCATATTGGATCGGGCAGAAAGTTTTATACGTTGTAATCATCTTTCTTAGGTTTTTATCCCATTTTGTATATCTTAGGACTATTTTTTAATCAGTAACAATCACTAATTTTATCTTTTGACTTTTCAATGTCAATAAAATCCTTTTGTAAATTGATCCAAGGAAAATAATATATAATATGGCCATGACTTGGAAGTATTGGATAAGTAAAGGTTCTTTTCCTGGCTTTGCAATAGAATAAGGATCTCTTCAGATTGATGTATGATTTAGGATCCTGTCAAGGCCTGTCCCAGATTATGAAAAGAATCTCTTTTGAAGATCTAAACTGAATAAAAATGAACAGAATTATGTAGGATTTTAGAATTAAATTTGTCCAAGTTATGCCTGCTTGTATCATGGTGTGCTGCTTGCATTAAGCATGTGCATGTACTATCTCAACTGCCTTCTCAGTGATTTTTACGATCTGATAAATGATATCTACTCATTATTCAGGTCATGCAGAAGCACCAGAAGTACTTTGCTATCACAGATAACCATGGGAAATTATTGCCAAACTTCATTGCTGTAAGATATCCATTAGGATATTTTCATGCTTTGTAGCCAAATGATGTCCATTGGTAATCTTTCTAGGTTTGTAGTATGCTGAAGTTGCTCTTTTCTTTTTTTGTTTTTTTTAGGTGGCTAATGGAGCAATTGATGAGATGGTGGTAAGAAGAGGCAATGAAGCTGTACTGAGGTCAGATATGAACTCTGTTCATTCATTCTTGTTCAACATTGAAGTTAACATGTTACCAATTTGATATTTTCTTCTTTTAGCTCAGTTTGAAGGTCTTGAATGTGCTTAGAAACAAGATATTTTTACCTCTATAGTGTTTTTATCTTCTATCAGCACATCTGTAATATCCTTCTGGTAGTATCTCTACAGTGCCATCAATGAGAAGAGAAAGAAGTGGGATATGCGAATGGATTAGGAAATTCTGTCTTGGATCAAGGAAGATGTTGAAGCCTTTGATCATCTTAATCAACATTGTACAACAAGGAGGGTTTTACATTTGGGAGTTCGAGAGTTGAAAGCTTTAGATCATAGCTATCCACTTTGCAGTTTTGACTTGCTTATGGGAACTGGTAATAATCAAAAAGTTGGACATTTAAATATTTGATGGCCTTTAGTCTTTGTGAGGATATATATTTTTTCTCTTTTGGGTGGTTGGTGGGGGTGTTGGAAGTGGTTATTCTTCATGATTTTCCTTTTGGAAGCAACTATCTGACCAATGTTAAGGATGTAAGGAAGTTACTCTTGGGAACTTGAACTGCATTTTGATTTTTCGCTCTCCCTCAGTCCCTCTTAGGTTTGTAATGAATATTGAACCAGTGGTTTAGGTGGTGTGAGAGGATTTTTGGAAGTTTATAAAAATTTGGTGGAGGGCATATTTTGGGCCATAGGGGTGGAATTGGTTGGGGATAATTAGGTATTAACATTTGGAGATCAGATAGATCAATGGCTATTGTCAAACAATGGTTGTGAAGTATACAGAGGATTTGACCCATTAGAGGGTGAAGATTATGAATTACATGGTTGTTCTAAAACGGTGATTGTGTACCTTAATAATATTTGAGGCTTTTTGGATTGGGCCTGGTGATCTGTCACTTATTGGTCTCTTTTGCACATGTTCCATGAGGTAATGTGTGATGAAGGATGGCTGGGTAATTTTAAAAATTGGCTCTCAAATATCAAACTGATTTGGGGTAGGAAATTGTTATGGTGAAAATTTTATTTCTTCAAAAATGAGAAATTTCATGGGAAATCTCATAGGAAATTGTGATGATGAAAAACATTTCCAGCATAAGAAAGCACTATGAAGAACAAAATCTTGCAGTGGAACCACATTAGTATTTTTTTTGTAAGTAAACTACAGAAATATTTTTTATAGACTGCATTTGGGAGTGCTTCTCCAATGGACTTTTTGTGCTTTTCATGTTGGGGAGGCCAAAAGCTAGTAAAAAAAATCATTCGGTGGAAATGCTTGAAACGGGTTTTTTTGTATAAAAAAAGCCTGTTTGAAAAAGCTGAAAAAAACTCCTAAACAGTGTTTAGAAAACCAGACTGGAGTGGCCGGTCAGACCGGTGGAATTGTCACTTGGGGTATTAGCTGGTCCAGTCATACTGTAGAAACCGGAATTGATAGAAAACTGGCCAAACCTGGTTGATAGGCCAGTTTAACCAGTGAACCACTCTCGGTTTCATAAACTGCTTGGATCACTAAATGAATTGAAAATTTAAAATGACAATTGCACAACTTGAACACAAGACCTTTTATTTATGCATATTGCCTTGCTACCATTGATCCATTTCTTTATTTATGTTCATTTATGCCTCTCTAATGTATATATTGCTTTAGTTCACATATATTTTAAAGAAAATGTAAGTGAATAGGCTTGAACCCTGGTCATTTGTTTTAAAAATTAAGGAATTCACCATCTATTTGCCTCATTCAAGCATGATATTATTTGTAAAATATATTATCTATGGTATTTATGTGACCCACAAACCACACTATATATATATATATATATATATGTGTGTGTGTGTGTGTGTGTGTGTGTTAAATCACACATTCACTTGCTTTATGTGTTGATGTATCCCAGAGACTGGCAGTGCTTGGGAGTGATGTTTAGAGAACCGAACTGGAAAAGGGAGAAGTTCAAGGGTCATACATACGTACATACATACACACATTCACGTGTATATGTATGCATGACCCGGTTCTATTCCCGGTTTAGTTCTCTTCATCGCTCCCAAACACTGCCAGTCATCTGGGATACATCAACACATAAAGCATGTGAATGTGTGATTTAACTAACATATCTATTWTTTACATTAACATTTGATAAGTTAATAATTTAAATTACTGGCTTTTAATATAATTTTTGTGATATTTTCTTAAGTATCAACATATGAATTATTATTGTTAGTGGTTCATTTTAGTTATGTAAATATAGAGTTCCAATCGATAGATATTTTGTGAACCAGGATTGGTTCAACTTGAGATAGGTAATCTTAGGATTAAGGGTGTGTAAATATGGGAGATATGTTTAAAATGACTCAAGAATGAAATTAGAGCTGGTAGAATGGACCGATTGGATCTTGAGGGGTTCTTGGCTTCAATTGCAAGACATAATCTGTCTTGAGGCTGTGAAAGGTAAAAATTTGAGGAAAACTAGTCTATGGTCTGAATTTCTTTATGAAATTGTATGTGAAAGGTTTGGAGTGTGGCTTTAATATATGACAAAGTTTGGTAGGGATCTAAGCATGGTTTGAAATTTTGATATTGATGGATATTCGATGTGTGAGTTGGGGAAATTTTGGGGATATTTTTCTAGGATATTCAGAATATATAAAGAAATCATGGAAATTATTAAAAACATGAAAATTTTTAATAAAACTTTATGGATTGTTAGAAGCCAAAGTGTACATGTAAGACTCAAAAACCATAGCAAGCAACTATTTATATTAAATAAGAGAAGATTTTGAGACTTAGGGTCTGTTTGGTTCACAATCAAGATTAGAATTGGAATCAGAAGTAAAATCCCTTGGAATCAAAATTGGAATTGGCTATTCCCAACACCTGTTTGGTTCATATGGGAATTGGAGTCAGATTCCAATTGTTGTTTGGTTCATTTGGTGTCGGAATCATAATCAACTGAATTTTTTCCGTTTTGTATTAGTTTATTAATATTTTATTGTTATTGTTTTAATTTTATTATTACTTTAATAATATTATATAATTTATTATTTTAGGAATAGTTTATGAATATTGTATTATTATTATTTTCATCATCATCATCTTACTATTACTTTAATAATAATAATTTATTATTTTACTAAATATTTTATCAATATTAGGGTTTGGGGTTTTTCGTTAGGAGTTCTTTACTTTTTGAGAAACTCTGGAATGGGAATCCTATTCTAAAGGGGAATTGGAATCCCATTCCACCAAGAGTGGGAATTGGAATTCCGTTCCAATAAGTGATTTAAAAGGTGTGCCTATGCGCTCAGGTGAGGCACATTTTAGGGTATGGGCCTTGCCTAGGCCCTAGGCACAACACTTTCAAAAGGTATCCACCCCCGGACCCCTGACCAAGCCCCTCGAGGTAAGTCCAAACAAATCCATGTTAGGGTCTTAAATTCTTAATCCTTACACAAAAATAAATGATTTTATAGTGTTGATTGTATTTTAAGAAGATATTTTACTAGGATGAATGAATGAACAACATTAGCAAATAGGAATAAGAATTTAAGACCCTAAGTCCCTAACATGGATTTGTTTGGACTTGCCTCGAGGGGCTTGGTACAAAGGTGGAAAGTAGAATCAGGAATGCAAGATGTTTTACATCACATTAGCTATTTGAAATAATGCAATTGAGGAAAAACAGAGATTGTGGGCTTTACATGCTTGAAAATGTTTTATATGTTTGGTTTTATTTTTAAATTTTCGTTTGAATGTGTTTTACATGTTATATTTATGTATTTTAATTTTAGATAATAGGTTTTTTAAAACATTTATTTTAAAATTTAAGTATATATGATTAATATTATGTTTAATATTTTCTGATTTTTTTTTTGTTTTTTTGAAATTTCTGACATTTTTAAAATTTTTTGGCACTTTTGTATTTTGCGCCTTGCTTCAAGAAAGGCATGCGACTCACCTTGCGCCTTGCGCCTTGGGGGCAAATTTCCCCTTGTGCTTTTTTTGCGCCTTGTGCTTTTAAAACACTGGTTCCAACCAAACAAATAACTTGAATTGTAATGGGCCTTTCTGATTCTGATTCTAGGCACCTATTCTGGGGAACCAAATGGACCCTTCAATAAGTATTTCTCTCACTGTCTCCATTTTAGTCTTTAGGCATCTTATCTTCTATACACATATTTCTGCTTGCCATTTTGACTTATGAAAGATGACCATGACTATATTTGCAGAGCTCGCTATGAGGATGCAAAGTTTTTCTATGAGATGGACACTAATAAAAGGTTTTCTGAATTCAGAAGTCAGTTAAAGGGGATTTTGTTTCATGTAAGATATACCATTTCATCCAATTATAACTCTTGCTTCATGAATCTTTTGAGGGTGAGATAATTCATTAGTTTTCGATGGCAATTGCTCCTTGGATGCATACCTTCACTAATTTCTTCCACATGGTTCTGCGGTGGTGCTTTTCTGCTTTGGTATCTTTTTTTTTAATTTTTGTTTTCAAAATAAGCAGTCAAAAGTACTTTGTTGATGTGTGTATAAAGTTGTACACTGTAGATGCAGAGACTCAGAGACTAAGATCATTCTATGTACTGCCTTGAATCAGATGAGTTTTTTAACTCCTGCATTGAAAGCAAAATGAAAATACTTTTGCTGGATTCGATTTCCAACCTATTTTTAACTCCTGCATTGGAAATACTTGACAGAATACTTTTTTTTTTTTTTGCTGGATTCGATTTCCAACCTATTTCATGCCTTTTGATCTGGATAAGAGATTCCCAATTTCAGGACAAGGAGGTCTGAATAATCTGATTCCAAATCTGTGAATGACTTTGTCCTAAGAGCTAAAAATTGGTTAGCTATCCTGCCTTCGAAAAGTCTGAAATAGCTACTGTATTTTTTGGACCTTTGACAATGTAAACATTTCTTTTAGCAAAAAAAACAAAACATTTCTAAGAATTGGGCTTGCAAAAATTGTTCTGTAGGTTCCCAGTCTAACACTAAATTCAATTACTATAAGAGGGCCTATTATACAAAAATTTTCTAAATTTTCTTCCCTCTTTTCTCAGATGTTAGCCCTTGTTTTTCATTAATTCATGGATACTATTAACTTGTATATTTCTCATGAAATTGTCTGATTTTTTTCAAGAAAAAAAATCTAAATCCCTGAATGATTAACTCATTTGCTGTGAAAATATTTTGTCTTGAGTGTCAGATGTAATTTTGGAAATCTAGAAAAATTTTTAAATGCTGATGAATATCTGTATTTTCTTCTTAATGGAAATTTAACATAAAACAGGAGAAGCTTGGAACAATGCTGGACAAAATGATGCGTGTCCAAAATATTGTAACCAAACTAAGTTTAGCCATGGGAATTGAGAATGATACACTGCCAGCTGTACAAGAAGCTGCATCACTGGCTATGTCAGATCTTGCTACTGCTGTCGTTACAGAATTTACTTCCCTCTCTGGAATTATGGCCCGTCATTATGCACTAAGAGATGGCTATTCTGAACAGGTTTTTTTAACTCAGACTTTAGTGCATTTCTTATTATTATATATGTTAAGCATTCTTATGGCGGTGGATCTGCTGGTTGGGTCATTTAGTGAAAAGGTTTAAGAAGGAATCCTCCACATGGCAAATTAGTTTGGGGCCCAAAATGTCCCTATAAGTTTCTCTCCCTATTCCCTATTAATGTGGCAATTATGAGTCTGAAAATAGTTGGAATAARCCCCACTTTTTAGGCAGATTTAACATTATAATATCAAAAATTTCAATGGCCAATGACCTGCGGAAGACACCTTTTTTTTGCTGGTAAGAAGAAAAATTCATTAAGATGAAAAGAAAAACACAAATACAACTTGGTGATGAGGCTTCACCTGTTGAAGAAGCTAGTAAATGGTGTGTAGGGACTGATGTAGACTTGAAGATCATGCAGGTGGTTGGTCCAGATGGTCTCCTACTCAGTGTTTTAAAAGCGCAAGGCGCAAAAAAGGCGTAGGGGCCAATTTTCGCCCGAGGCGTATGGCGCAAGGCGAGGCACATGCCTTTTTGAAGCAAGGTGCAAAAATACAAAATAATGCTAAAACAATGTCAGAAAATTCAAAAGAAACCAAAAAATGCAAAAAAATATTAAACATAATATTAATAAAAATAAAGTAAATGTTTTAAACAATCTATTATCTAAAATTAAAACACATAAACATAACATGTAAAGCACATTCAAATGAAAATTTAAATATAAAACCTTTTCAAGTAAGTAAAACCCACAATCTTTTTTTTTATCTCAATTGCATTACTTAAAAGTAGCTAATGTGATGTAAAAACTAAAACATATTGCATTCCTGATTCTACGAGCCGCCTGTGCCATGGCCCTTGAGGCAAGCCCAAACAAGTCCATGTGGGTCTTAAATTCTTAGCTATCACACAAAAAATAATTATTTTATGATTTTAATTACTTTTTAAGAAGATATTTTATTAGGATGAATGAATGAACAACATTAGCAAATGGACTTGTTTGGGCTTGCCTCGAGGGGCATGGTATGGGGATCCAGGGATGGAGCCCTCGGCCCAGCCACTAGGTTCAAAAAAAGCAAAAAAGAGTGGAATTTTCAAAAGGCGCATGCCTGGGCTGAGGCACAAGGTGCACCAGGCATGCGCCTTTTGAAAGAGCTGTGCCTAGGACTAGGCAAGGCGCATACCCTAAAATGCACCTCGCCTGTCCGCCTAGGTGTGCCTTTTAAATCACTGCTCCTACTTGATAGATAACTCAGATTGGCCACATCATCCCTCAAAATATACATCAGCCCATGGACATTGAGAGGCTGTACAGTAGGGATATACAAAACAATAAAAGAGATCCAGCATCAATAAAAGAGCTATACTGGATTGGAACTCTCTTTCTTATGCTTAACCATGGACATAATAGTCCTTTTATATTGCCCCTAAACATATCCATACCTGTATATTTATTTTCAAAGATGTGTATATTTCTTTCTCTCCACACTGTCCAAGTGATAGAAGCAGGCAAAATACTCCAAGAGACCTCTCTACTGCTTAAAATTTCTGTTTCTGGCAGGCAACATTGCTCCCCAAAACATTGTAAGCCCAGAGTCCATAAATGGTGACAGAACTTTATAAAAAGGTGGCTTGAAGATTCAAAGAATTCACTGCCATTCTTTGAAGGTAAATAAAAAAAGAAAATTCATTAATATTGAAAAAAGAAGATGCAATCAAGATGAGGTGATGAGTAATCACCAAACAAAAAAGAAATAATACAAGGAGAAGAAAATTACATCAAGACCTTTCACCCAATTCCAAACAAGCCCAAAACTCAGGAATAATTAAAACTCAGTCCAGAGTGCTTCTCTCAATAACTGAACATTACTCCCTGGAGCCTTGCTTTTGAAGAGTCTTCTATTCCTTCCCTTCCAAATCTCCCAACACACCACAAAAGGATCACGAGACCATGCTATTTTTACTTTCTTGTTCCCATGTAGAATTGGCCAGCATGCAAATCTCTTTTGGGCATCTAGGAGATCCTCCAATGATGCCAAAATGTCTGAAGAAGAAACCCTAAATGCAAGATGAAAAATCTGCACTGTACTAGAAGATGAAGAACATTTTCCTCAGATTCACTGCACAAATAGCATCTGTTTGCAATTTGTAGCCCTCTTCTTTTCAAGTGATTTTGAGTAAAAAAAATGCTGTCCAATGCAATCTACCATGTGAATGCTTTCACCCTAGGAGGAACCAGGTTGGAACTTTCCACTTCATTCTAGCTAAATGATTATCATAGGATTTCACTATGAACACCCCATTTCTGTACTACTTTCCCCTAAATGCCCCAAACATTCATTCAGCTCCCAATCAAACAATGACCTTCAAAAAGTTGGACACCACACAACCTTACCTTGGTTAACTTGAGAACATTCCTCCAGCTCCCAGCCCACCAAATTTTCTTTCCATACATACTTTGTTCCAATTCACCAAATGAAACTTAAGATCTATCCTTCCAACCAGCCCATAAGAAGTCTTTTTCTTTCTTTATTTGCTTTGCCACTATTTGACCTGATCTGGCAGTTCATGAAGCAAATCTCCCTATTTGACACAATCAAGGCCTTTTTTCCTATACCTACATATTTGCATACATATGTACATACATTCATATATACGTGCTTACATAATGTGTTCGATACCTGAATTTGATCCCAAGCCAATCTAAATCTGATGGATAAAGTTCAATCATAATCCAAATATTGATGAGTCAAATTTGGATCTAGGTATATTCAATTTGACCTGATCTGTTTGCAGCACCTATTCTAACCTCTTTCCATGATTCACTATTTCTTTGTCTGAGGCATCACTATGGTCCTTTACTTCGTGTAACTGTTTTCTGTCTAGCAGGTTGCAGAAGCCTTGTTTGAGGTCACACTTCCCAGGTTTTCTGGGGACCTTATTCCAAAGACTGATGTAGGGATGGTTCTAGCAGTTGCCGACAGGTGAAGAACAAGTTGATATCTGTATTTTTTTTTCCCATCCTTTTGGGTTCCCTGTTTGGCTAAAAAACATTTATTTGTTAATGTTCCCCATCTCCAATTTGAAATATATACTATTTTAGTATGTTGATTTTAAATTTTCTTGGCTGTTGTACAGTTGTACTTCCCACATTGTTTTAGTATATCAGAAATGCATGTAGAAAATAGAATTTTATTTCAATAAATTAACAAGGGAGAGATTGGCAAGGATATCGTCCATAGAATTACAGCAGGATGGGAAAAATGGAAGGAAAATTCTATAAAATTATAAGGCCAACTATGGAGCAGTCAAGTAGAGTGTTGGGTAGTTAATAAACATGTCCAAAAAATGAATGTGGCAGAATTGTGTATGCTGAGATGAATGAGTGGAAAAACTATGAAGGATAGGGTTAGAAATGAAGTCATTAGAAGGAATCTAGGAGTTGCTCCAAATATCCAGTACATGATAAAATGAGAGAAAATAGACTAAATATGGTTTGTCCACATGCATAGAAGACCATCAGCAGCAGCTGTAAGAAACAATCTTTTGCAAATTGAAAGGGGCTAGAAAGGTGTGGGGTAGACCAAAAAGGACATGAGCCAAAGTAATAAGAAATGATTTAAGCACTCATAATTTAACAATGGATATAGCATTAAACAGAATGCTATATAGATGGGATAAGGCTTGGATGAACTTACAATCTCTTGGTTGACAAGACTAAGGGATCTAAGAGACACATACCAATGCTGTGAGTTACTGCTACAACTGTACGAGTTTATCTAAATTTCCTATTACTAATGAATGGAAATGATGATGCTAATCTTTAGCATATTATTGGAATCATCATTTTCTTTGTTGTTGTTGTTGCTATGATTATTAACATTGATATAATTGAGACAGTGTTAGAAAGAAAGCCTATGACATCATTAAAGAGTGATTAAAATTTACCAGCAGTCCTAGTTAGTCTGATAAGGTTTGGTACTGCAAATGTGAAAATTTTATGAGCAGTATGTATGCATTTGGGGTGGAAGCTAAAACAAATAGTTAAGATTTTCATTTACATCATCAGGCAAGCCAGGAAACTGCTATACAAATCATGTTCCAATAATCCACTTCGGCTATATTTTAGATTTAATAGACTACATATTTAAGCTTGTTATGGTTAACTAAGCTGTTTATTGTGTTTAATAAGATAGTGAAAGAAAAGAAGATGCTTCAGAAGGGTTCAGCACTTAACCCTTGTATGGTTGAACTGATCATAGAATTGACTAAACATACCCAGTAGGAATTTCCATGGTGCATGTTGTTTGCGGATCAATAGAAAACTCTGTGACCATTTACAGTACTAGGTGCAATAATTTAGAACAACAGTGAAATTAAGGAGGATGTTGCCCAAAATTTTCTTAATCTTGCATGGTAAAGAAAAAGTTAGAGGGTGATTTCAAAAGGCAACTATTGTAGTTAGGAAGAAGATGGGAGAGTTCGTGGAGGTAGGCTGTTGGAGAAAAACTTTAAAGATTGAAGCTAAGGAGCTCCTATTTGCGGAACAGAGATTAAAAAGTCAGCTGATCTTGAAAATCAGGGAAGCAAAGAAAGGGATGGTGCTGTTAGAAGGTTTGGGGGTGATTGAAGGGCTCAAGGAGTTTGTGGAAGATGCAAGTAACAAAGGCAAACAAAATAGCTGGAAARAGTTTCTCTCAGAAACTGGAAGAAGATTTGTAGTAGAGTGTAAGAGAAATTCTAAAGGCTTTTTCATTTCTTTGACAGGATTTTTTGGCAAGGGTAAGAAGCAGATGGTCTGTTTCCCAGAGGGAAGGAAAAGTCAGGGCTGGAAGGCAGTTCATGGGGTATTATGCGAACTGCTGAAATGGTTGAGTGCCACAAGAGAAGTAACAGAAAAAAGGAGGATAATCAGTTCTACAGAGCAATAATAAGCAAAGAGACTATTATAGTGACAGCTGGAGCAGGTAAACACAGAATGGGAGTAAACCTACAGAGAGGAGATTGGGAAAGTAAACTTATAGTTAAAGCTTCAGCTCGGATTCTAGATTGGAGGAAAGTTGCAGATTTGTTAACAGCAAGCTTGAAGTTGAAGAGTATGTTTATATTAACACCCTTTGAGAAAGACAAGGCTTTGCTGGACTTGGTTGAGAATAGAGTAGAAGCTGAGGCATTAAATATCCAAACTGAACTTGGGAATTTCACAATATCAAGATGGTGCCCAGTATCAAACTCCAAAGATTTCTTTGTTGAAGATGGAGTGCTGGTGCATCTCTTAGGCCTCCCCTTTTACTTGTGGAAGCAAGAAACTACTGAAGCCATTGCTCTGATGTGTGGAGGATCACTAGGAGGTGTATTTTGGGGAGATCTCTTTTCAGCTTCCATTTTATTTAATGGAGTAAAACCTGAGGAGATTCCTCGGAAGATAGAGGTGCGAGTTGAAGGACAATTTTACTCAGTGTGGCTCGCTTCATCCATTGAATCTGAGCTTTGGAAAGAGGCTAGTAGGGAGGGATATGAGAAGGTTGAAGAAGAAGAATTGCGTGGCAACAAAGGACTGGATGGTTCAAACAAGAATAGCACTTTCACTAGAATGGAAAAACATATGCTGGAGAAACAAGAAGGTAGATTTCAGGGGGAAGGTCTGATGCGTGTAGAAGAAGGAAACAGTCTGGAGGGCGGCTGGACCGGTTGTAGCTGGAGCCAATATGGCATTATTAAACAAGGAGGTGGTTCAGGGAAGAACCAAACCGAGATTTGATAAAATCAATCAAACCAAGTGGTGGGCTGATCTCGCGTGACCCTTTTAAAAGTCACGTGAAGCTGCAGGTTGTTAAGAATGGGCCAAGTAATGAACTAAAGCCCATGATGAGGGAACTAAATATTAGTAAAGGCCCAAACGGGTCAGCGGGCCTGACCCAGTTACTTAAAAAGGTGCGTGAGCCTTAAAAGACTCACGTGACTGGGGCGAGACCTAAGGTAGACGATAGAAATTGTCTATCGTCGTCTTCCTCAAGCTATTCGACCGCTGCGAAGGACCTTTCCCAGGCCGCTGTTTCGAAGCTTCCTACTCAGTCGGCTGGTTCTCTACAGTGGCTTCCAGTGAAAAAACCTCAACGATCATCTCCTGATCGTCGTAATCCGCGCTCGATCAAGAGAAGTAATCCAGATAAACTCGACTTGATTCTCTTGGCAGTATCGACCTCTCTCAAACCAAGGATCTCTTTGAAGATTGCAGTTTAAACACAGAAGTGCTATTCCTATAGGAAGACGCTTGTGGCTCTTTGACAGGATTTCAAGCGGCAGCTCCCTGCCCCCCGGCAGGTTGTACTTCAGATAAGGGTTGTATGGGTTCAACGGCTGTTACGGAAGTTGCACAGGGGACATCTACTCCAACAAACAAACCCTCCTTTGGACTGCAACATGCTCAGGTTATCTTTTTAGAGGATCAGAACTCATTACTGTCGTGCCACGCAGAATCACCGATCAGGGGGCAACCTTTAATGGTAGCTTCTGCTGCACTGGTTAATACAGACTTGATTGAACCTAGACAACTTCCAGAGATCAATCAGTCAGGGGAACCAGGCCTAGATTCAATGCCTCCAATAGCAACTTCTGCTCCTGTTCCTATTCTACCAGTTCCCTTTGATTCAGGTACGCCTGTGGATTTGTTTTCTGGTACTAACAAGGGTCCTATGCCTGAAACAGGTACTTCGGCTTCTCAACCAGAAGGAATGGCCAACGGAGGGAAGAGTGGGGCTGCGGCTAAGGGTTGTGGAGAAGAGGAGGGGGAGGTCTTATTGAAAAGGAAGCAGGAAGAAGAATTAGAGAGAATTTGGGAGCGGATTTGTGCTCTCTTGGAGGATTATAAAGAGAAAGAAGAGAAAATGGAAGGTACCCCTACAAAATTGGAACAGAAGAAGGAAGATAGAGAGTGTTTGAGAAGTGATAGAGTAGATAAAAGTAGGAAAAAAAAGAAAAGATCAGAGGTGGAAAGACTAATATCAGATATTGAGGGTGATATTGAATTCAACGGCGGAGGGGAAAGAAGAAAGGGTCTCAAGTAAGGGTGGGTGAGGGTGTTTGAGAGGGTTTTCTAATATTGTCTAATGAAAATCATAAGCTGGAATGTGAGGGGTTTAGGAAGTGCAAGGAAGGAGATGCTTAGAAGAGAAAGGCCTGATGTTGTTATTCTACGAGAGACAAAATTAGAAGGGATGGATAGAAGATGGGTTAGAAGTGTGTGTAAATCTAGAGGGATTAGTTGGGTTTCAACTCCCTCTTGGGGAGCTTCAGGGGGTATAATTACCTTGTGGAAAGAAGATGTTGTAGAAGCAGTTGAGGAATTAGTAGGTAACTTCTCTGTGTCTTTGAAATTCAAAATGGTGGAGGGTGACTTTACTTGGCTGCTAACCAATGTTTATGGGCCCAATAATTACAGAGAGAGGAATGAATTGTGGGAGTTGTATGGCATTCAAGGTTATGGGAAGGTCCTTGGTGCTTAGGTGGAGATTTTAATGTTATTTGGTTCACAATTGAGTCAAATAACCCTCATCAATCCATCACAACTAGTATGAGGGAATTTAATGATTTTATCAACTTTCGTGAGCTGAAGGAGATTCCTCTTTTGCAAGCCAATTTTACCTGGTCCAACTTTCGGGAAAACCCAACATGTTCGAAGTTAGATAGATTCTTGTTCAATGAAGCCTGGGAGAACCAATGGAGGGGATTGATGGCTAAAGGGTTACCTAGAGTTACCTCGGATCACTACCCTATTCAGTTAGGAGAGGAACCCCTTAGACTCTAGGCCTAGACCCTTTAGATTTGAGAATTTGTGGTTGTCTCACCCAGACTTTGTAAAAAGTGTTGAGAGTTGGTGGAGTGAAGAGCTAAGGGGGGTGAAGTGGAAAGGAGTTAGATTTCATAAAAAAACTAAGAAGTTTGAGGACAAAATTGAAAGCTTGGAACAAGGGCCATTTTGGGA